CAGCCGTCCATCTTCCCTTCTGGCCGTGAGTATCCTTTGGGATACCCGGATACCCGCCAGTGTTTTGCGGAAAAGGGGCCATCCGCACCCGTTGGCGGGTATCCGCCAGGGGATAGCGGGTATCCGGGACGGATACCCTTTGACCATCTCTATAGTGAACCAGTCATGAAGAAGAGATTCCTTCTCAATGGCCGGCATTTTAGCGGACATGGCACCTTTGCTTGATATCGGCCAATTGAGGCTTTGTCCCACCGCCCCCCCCCAACTTTTGCATGTGCCAAGCGCGGGTTGAGATGGTGCCACACACACTTTAAGAGCATCTGCATCGGTGTGTGGATTAGGCAGGATTACCTGCCTAATCCGCACACCGATGCGGATGCTCTAAGGATCAGCCAAGCAGGCTTGGGGATTGGCCCAGCACGCTTGGCCTTTTTTTTTGGCCGGACTTGGGTGTGTGCCCAGATGGGCTTGCAACACCATAATAATTCCATATACATAGTCTCCCCCCCAAAAAAAAGAAAATTCTGGTAAACCCATCAACACTCTAATCATCATCATCATCATCATCAATTATTCTTATTATTAGCATTACATTTTGTTTTTTATCAGTTTGTGATGGATTTGAATAACCCGCTAATAAACAACAATCAATTTACACACACACAGAAAAAAAAAGACGATGAAGAATGAGATGATATGAAACGAAATCTATCGAAGAAAGAAAGGAGATAAATATAAACAGATCAAATGATATCCGACCAACAAATATATATAGATAAGTGCCGGACGAACCAGCCGCCCACTAGACCCGGCAGATCGACCAACGAGACGATTATTGTTCCAACAACAACAACATACAGCCAGCCAAAGGGGGAAAAAAAGACGAACATGGGGAACGAGGGGGGGGGGGGGGGAAGAGATTAATGTTTGAAGAGGAAGAAGGCGAGGACGAGGGAGGCTTGGCCGACCCAGTCGATCGAAGAGGAGAGCAAAGGGATCGCATAGATGTCCGGATCCAGGTTGAATTTCCACAGCAAATGGGTCAGATGGTACGCTGCTACCAATGAAATTACACTCTTCATTTTCCAAAAAAAAAAAAAAAACAAGGTCAGTAAGTGGGATGTTGATATGACAGGGGGGGGAGGAAGTGCTTACTGTCCATATCACACAGATCATGAAGCCGATAAAGAACGTGAAATCGAAGCCTGATTCCGGGCTTCCATGGCCCATATGAATCAGCCCAAACGCCCCGAGAATGAGCGAGCTGAGGACCAAGAGGACGATGCCGACTTTCCGAGCGGGTTCATGGAAGACATGCGAGGGTAAACGATCCTGATCGTCCTGATCCTCGTCGTCATCGTTGAGCTCGTCATCCAGTTCGAGATCGAGTTGATGAGCATGATCATCATTGTGATTAAGTTTGAGGAATCCGTTGTGAGGTTTGAGTTCCAAGGAAGGAGGATCGAAGGGCGGAGGGATAGAGGAAGCGTTTCGAGCGGCATGAAGGGCGGTAGAGATCCGGGAGACGGAGATCGTCCCGATGTTGCCGCAGATCCCGGTGAGCACGGGGGCGACGGCGGCGAAGCCGTCCAGTCGGACGACGACTTTCTCGAGCAGCAGGCCCGAACAGGTCGAGATCGCCATCGCCACAAACAAAGGCGTCCAGCCCACACCCAGATAGCCCTGCACATACTCGTTCCGCAGGGTCGCATAGCCATGCATTCCCACCGAACAGGCTAGCGCTACAAAAATCACAGTCGAGATCGCCGTGTCCACGTATCGTATAAACACGCTCGCGGCGAGACTCAGGAAGACTAGCGTCATTAGGTCGCCTAACGAGGACGCAATAGGCGTCGTGATATTGTCTATTCATCATCGTCAAAAACGGAAAAAAAAGGAGAACCGAGTGTAAGTGTTTGTGTATACGATGAAAATTTCTTCATGAGAGCGTTAGAGAAACGGACCAGGATTGATTTTGAGGATTCTACAAGCGATGACCAACCCAGAGACGAGTGCGCCAAGGAGCAAGGAGTTAACGGAAGCGGCGAGCATTCCGGCGGCGAGGACGAGGAGACACTCTGCGTATCCGCCGTCGGGGCGATGGAGCGGGGAGTTCCAATGGGCGGCCAGGGTGGATTGGACCAGACTGCCCAACGGCTTGGCATGCGTCAGTCCCCGGATCGTCGCCAGATCCTCCCGCGACATCAGCCCTAAGACAAACGAGACCAGCGAGGCTACAAACGACACCAGAAGCGCTTGCACTTGTAGTAGCGTCAGGTTCCCCGCTACTAATGAGCGCCGTCCTTTCGGGGTATCTAGGTCGCCCATGTTCGCCTGCAAACATATCCTCTTCTCATCAGTTTTTCAAAACATTCTTTTAAAAACAATTGGAGAGAGAGAGGAACTGACGCTAGTACTGAGTCGAGCAGCCAGATTCATCTCGAGGTTTCCTTTGAGATTCATAAGGACAGGGAGCAGGATATAGAGTTCGGGGACCCTGATGAAGGCGTCCCAGTCCTGGACATGATGGAGGAGGAGGCCAGTGAGACAGCCACCGAGGACGGAGAGGATGAGGGAGGGGAGGGTTTGGAGGACGAGGGTGGTGACTGAGAAGACGGGGACCGTGGACAGATGATGGTGGTGTTTTCGGGCGGGTGGTCGTGGTCGATGGGCTTCGCTCGACCGTGTCCGTCGGACATACAATGAGTCCTCCTCCTCCTCCTCCTTTTCCTCCTCTTCCTCCTCTTCCTCTTCCTGATCCGATTGCAGTAACGGTGAATGGACGCCGACGGGGATGGGCTTGTTGTTGGTCTTGAGTGAGTCGATGGAGGTGGTGGTGGTGCTTGCTGAGGAGGATCTTCTGTGTGTGGATGAGAATGAGATGTGGTGTTGCTGATGTTGTTGTTGTTGTTGTTCTTGGTTGTGTGTTGGTGGTGGTGGTGGTAGATTGTCTTGACTGTGGCTGTGTCTTCTCATTGTTGAGGATGCTTCGTTTCCTTTTCCTTTTTCTTTTTTTTTTTGTGGAGCAAGCTGAACTCTCTCTTTAAGAAATCAAGACAGTCCGATTACCTGTTCCTCGGTTGAGCGTGGCCCCTGACGACGGCCATCCATATTTATGAATGTCGGTTGGAACCGAAGGCTGTCCAACCATACTCAACTTTTACTTGGACCAGCTTGTAACCTCGGCACCCGGAGTGGCGAACTACAGAATCTCTTCCTCAACTTAATCGACTCTCTCCGTCTCATCTGCAGGCCGAGTCCAGATCCGGGGGCGGGGGGAATGTTCACAAAATTCACAAAATTAACCTCTTTCTAGAAAAAAAAAACATCCCCACAGGCCACATTGAGGATAAGCTCCCCACATGTATTCACATGGACTCACTAATTAAAGGATTGAAGATCCACTCTCTCTCGAAAAATGCTCAAGAATAGTAAGGACACCAAAATGAACACCAATGAACAAGAAAAGCCAAAGCGATCACCCGAAAAACAAAACGGAAAACAATCCTTGGAGCCTGAAGGGGACAACAATCTTGCCCCAAGTCTCTCTCTCTCCATAAGTTTAAAAGGAGAGTTCCTATACATGAAAGTGGTGCCAACAATGCCTACAGAACATTTTTTCGATTCCAAGGTTTCACAACTACTGTGTTGGGTGTAACTAAAGTCCATTCGACTCATACATAAATGGAGTCTGTTTCTTCGTGCCCACAAAAAAAAACCCCCCCGGAATAACATAACTGGAAGAGCCCCACCCCCACATATCAATTAAAAGAGATAGATACTCAAGTAGACTCTTCTTAGGACACTCCTGGATGGTTTACATGTATACATATTGATTGAGATGGTTTCTACTAATTAAGACTATTTGATGTAGATAAAAAATCAATTGGGTTTTTATTGTATTAAGATTAATTTTACATTAATCAAAGGAGGTGAAGGAAACACAAAAAAAAAGAAAAGCAAGATAAAAGAGCCCCCTCATTCCCACAAAAAAAAGAAGAATCAGAAAAAAGAAGTATATAACCGATGATCAAAGATTATTTGTACGTCTGCGGCCACGGTTAAGAAGGATATCTTGATTGTGATCGGAGGCATGAGTGGCTCGATTATTATTCAAGAGAACCGGGGTTGGATTTTTGTTGGGCCGATTGAGGGCCGACGGTTTAGGAGGAGGAGGAGGCGGATGATCCGAAGGATGAGAGTTAGCCAAGAGATGATTAGAGAATGAATTCGACGAAGAGGAAGAAGCCGGAGGAGAAGAGAGCGGGGAGGAATGGAGCGTGAGAGTGGTACTGGTACTGCAGCTTGTATTGCTTGGAACAGTCGAGGGTGTCGCGCCAGACGATTTGTTACTTGACGTTGATTTCGGCTTATTGGTGGTGGTGGCAGTGTTTGTTTGTAGGTTGTGATGGTGGGACGAATGTTTGATGCTGGATTTCCTCTTGACGGTCGACGACCCATCAGAATCTGGCCGACGCATCTTCCTAGATAATGATCATCAGTTGGTCAGTTGCCAAACCCTCGGAACCAAGCAAAAAAAAAAAAAAAACAGCCATTAATCTGGACTGACTTGTTCAAGCTAGGCAGCGCATAATTGACTTCTTTGCGAGCCCGTCGAGCCTCGCGAGATCCCGCACCAGACAGATTGTTCACAGCGGCCTCCTGGACAGTGAGGCCGGCTGCATGATGGGGAGCAGATGCGGGGTGTTCTTCGCTGACGGCATCGAGCTCTGCACGGACGCGTTTCTTCTTGGCCAGCGGGCGTTTCTCCCAGCCTTCATCTAGACTGAGTTGAGCCGCCTCATCGGCAGTCTCCTCGCTTTCTTCTTTCGTTAGGCCAGAGTCGCGTCGTTTGGCACTTGCCGATTGAGCCGCTAGATTGCTGATCTCGATTCCTGAGCTCTTCGTGTCCTCTGATTCGTCCGTCCGTCCGGATCGACTGGACTCGTGGGTGTTGTTGGCTGTACTCTCGGGCGATCCTAGAGTAAGAGGAGGTAGCGAAAAGTCCGCGGGAGACACGTTTTCAAGGATATGTAAGGGTGTCAGACTGGTGCGTCTCTGTTTCCTAGATCGTCGCTGGCTTTGTCTGGATCGTCGTTGGGTATCTATGAGTGCCTCTTGCTCTTTTGGACGCGCATTCTTCTGCTTGCTCTCGCCCGGCTCAGCTACATCTGGAGCATCTTCTGGAGGATCATCTTGGTCACTGTCAGAGGATGAATCGGAGGTTGAAGATTCGTTGAGCTGGCTCATGGCACGATTCTGCAATGAGAAGCTTGCTGAGGTTTGGTCCTCTGGCAGGCTTTGATTCTCGGCTTCAGAGGAGTCTTGATCTTCAGATCCTTCTTCCTTAATCTCAAGCTCAGCATGTTCTGTCGACGTTTTCAGGCCGTTCGTCGGGGGCGGCTCATTGGAGCTATCAGTAGAGCCTAGTCGCGAGCTCGAAGACTTTGGAACAGGGGCCATCAGCTCTTGGCGTCGATTAGGACGAGATACAACAAATTGGTGCTGCAATGTCTTCGGAATGTGATTTGAGGGACCAGCAGACGTTTGGGTTGGGCGGATCGGTTGAACTGGAATGTGGGGGCAGTGAATCTGTGGACCCTGATTGCCTAACGCCAGAGATCAAAAAGTCAAAAAAAACAGGGGGGAAAGGGAGAAAGAACCGGAGAATAATAGCAAAAAGGCAATTG